TTTTTTTTTTTTTTTTTTTTTTTTTTTTTTTTTTTTTTTTTTTTTCTTAATTATCCCGGCAGCTCACTGCTCCTCATACGAGGCAGCATCGAGCGCGGCGCGCGAACGTTTAAACATTTATCCGAGAACGAAAACAGACCGGGTATTATCTCAGACGACGATTCTTGCTCTCCCGTGGAACTACACTTCGCGCGAGATTAGGTGATTACGCGGAAAATGCAAGGCGAACTGCAACGCGCGCTGCGGCGCATTCGAAAGTACGTCGTTCCGCCCGCACGGACGCTTCGCTACTTTTATAATAACATTATTATTATTGCATTGGCTCTTTCATCTTTTCTTTTCTCCATTCATTCATCGTTAAATTCCTGAACTCTGAGGTAGTCTGTTCTGGGAGTCACATTAGTTAGTAGTAAAAATGGCAAGAATGCTATATATCATTTACCGGGGTTGCATGGAAATCATCGGCCGCGTCTCGCCGACAACATTCTCACCGACATCGAGCTTAATATTAACATTATTCTTCCTATATACTGTAGTGTATAACTTTTGACGCATATTCATCGATTCATTTATTACTTATGTAGTTACATATATAATATATACATGTATGATATATATGATATATATTATATATATATATATATATATATATATATATATATATATATATATAATATTTGCGCGGTTTTTGTAATGCTTGGTGGGAGATTTATGTCGGTGAATGTTGTGTAGCAATGATTTCTACGCAACTCCATTTACCGTCCTACAGCTTTCGCACGTCGATATTTTACTCATTCTTTAATACAACAAATGAAACAAAACCTTGAAAGGACGTTGGCGTATGCATGAATGTGTAATGTGTGTTTGTAAGCTGATGAGAGTAAAACTGAATTTTGTATATACGTCACTGTGAATATATGTGAGCGATCGTCGCCGTATATGCACACAGTGATTTCCGCGTGTGTGTAGGTGTGTGTGTGTGTGTGTGTGTGTGTGTGTGTGTGGAACGTGTTTCCCATTCTCCTCTTCCACGTGTTCGCCTCTCTTTCGCACATTATACACCATATAAAATATTTACAATGATGTTGTAGGATTTTGCACCTAATAAGAACAATTAAAAAAACAAACACTCGTCGCAGTCGCGCAAAACGCAATACGATTAAATAAACGAAGTCGCAGGTCCGTATACGGGATACGGTCGTAATTTTGCTCTCCTCGAACAATGACGTAGGAATGCGCGATGCGAGCTTAACTAATTAACATAACGGAGCGCGCGAGAAATAATTAGCGCACTCGGGATCGGTCGCTCTCAATTGAACAATGATCGACGGAAACAATCACGCGTAGCTGGCCCGTATTATTTTGTTACGGCGAGGTTAACATTTGCCCACGCGACAATGTTATATGCACTCGCTATTGCGTGTTTGCGTGCACGCCGAGCGACGTGCGGCTCGAAGAGAAATTGCGCCAAGGGTCTCGAACATAGGTAGATGATTGGCTCGTTTTGCTAGTAATTAATCGCGTGTCGGTTAATTACTGTGGATTAAATGCCGCGATATACGATTGTGCCTTGCTGCGATCGATGTGTGGATTCCGGATATGATTGACACGAGTCTTGTGGCCCGAGAATATTCATAAGAAAGCACAGTAATTGGTTGCTTGATTGATCCACATGTATAATTCGTCGATACTCTAGAATTACTGTCAATGACAAGAAAAATTCGCGGTAAGATAAAAGCGCGAATGCCCGGAACGTACAAAACTCATACATATGTTGAAAGTATTCGATAATAAATTAACAAATAAATATTTAATCTTGACACTTTACACGAAGTAATACAATAGTTTAAAGATTGCAACCTACAAATGCAGCAAAAATCTGCCTATATTCGAAAGTGGCGGAGGTTTGTAATGCGAAATTTACTTCGAGCCGCGAGCGAGCGATCGGTTATTTTCAAATAGATAAATCAAATATCGTTATAAAAACATGCACCGGTGGACAATCCAATTGCATGCCGAAAGGAATGTGAAGCATATTGTTATATATGGGCCTTTTTATATATTTTTTAAAACGAAAGTTCCAATCAATCTTCCTTGTCTCTTTTTATCTGATCACAGCAGAATTTGATGGAATGTATACGATCGTTTTTTTTTTAGTTACAATTATTGATGATTGGCCGCCAATATCTTGAAAAATATCTTCGCGTTATCTTGAGCCTTATTCCGAATGTTGCTTCGTTTTTTCATCGACAATATTATATTTACCAATTCAATATTGACGGAAGAAATGAACAAATGAGCGATAGAAATGCATAAATATCTCGTGAACGACGCGTTATCAGCATTGGCTGTTTGGTCGGTTTTGCTCATTGTGGCGTTGTCTCGAAGCAGCTCGGGATTATCCAAATCCTCATCCGAAAAATGATTCGACTGGGAAGTCGATGACATTAAAGTGAATATTATATGAACCAATATGCACAGGAGCTCTGTCGCAATGTCGACTGAGCCTATTCCAATATTCAGGATCAATTCCGCACAAATCGGTATTCTTTCACTGTTATTTTCAAATTAATCGGTTAGGCTCGGTAGATCGCGATTTTAATTCTCACGCCGGCGTTCTTAATACATACGATCTCGAGAGTGCATTGTAAAATGCACGTTTGAACTGTCGGACGGTCAAGACATCGATGCGACACAAAATCCTTTATTTATCGGATATTTTTATATTATAAATAATCACAAAATATCTACGGTTGTATATAATAAAAACCTATTGCAGGATTATTCGTAATATTCTTATCTAGTAATATATACAGTTATAATTATCAAATTGCAATAATCTAGTTATGATTATCAAATTAATAGACATTATCTAGAGATAAATCAGTTACATTTCCTTGCAATAGTCTTGTTGAAATGAGTTACACATTACAAATTTCATACGTTACGTCTGCTATTGTCCTGCCACTCATAATATGTTTCTCAACAAGATATGAACGCATAAATTCGTGAAGAAAATGTAAAATAAAAAATAATATAAGTGTCGGGCGTCTCAATTCGTTACGAAATTGCAAACGACGAGGAAAAAATAATAGATGTATAAAGTCTAGAAGCCATCTCGAGAGTTAATTCCAAGCACTATATTATAGGAAAAAATGCATTATACTTTGGAAAGAAAAGAAAAAAATATATTAGGATTGATAGATGAATAAATCACACGTAACGGACAAAAGTTGATTCGTTATTAAATTTTATCAAATTTTATGAAAATTTTAATATTGCTTTTCTGTATGACCAGGAATATATAGTGCACTAGGAATAAACTCGACATTGTATAAATCGATGGCTTTATACTTGCAAAGAGAGAGATCGAAATTTTCTCTACTGATATTAAATTCAAATTTGAGTATAAATCGTTTTTAGTCCTCAAATAAAAGAGAGACAGGAACATTGATAAAAATGAAAAAAAAGAAACATTATAGGTATAGAAGATTCCCCTTGATTATGTTCCTTTGACACGCTCAAGAGCGGAAAACCTCACCAAGGGAAATCCGACACCTCTAATGGTACGCCTCGCGGATCGCGTTTCTATGATCGCGATGAGCATGGGCTCACTGTAGTATGAACATTTTCCTTCTTGTGTTCGATTTTGGACTTCTTGCTTCCCCTGTAGGCTTTCTTCGAGTGCGTCGCAATATGTTTGACCATGTGATCCTTCCTGATGAATTTTTTGCCGCAGTGACAAGAAAACGGCTTTTCACCTGTATGAAGGCATCTGTGCCGTCTCAGATCGGTCTTATGATTGAACTGTTTTGGACACGAGTCGCACTTGTGCGGCTTGTCACCATTGTGCTTCTGCAAATGCTTCTCGTACGTTTCCTCGGAAATAAACCGCTTACCGCATTGAGGACATTTGAACGGCTTCTCGCCCATGTGGAAGCTCTTTTTGTGTTGCGTCAAGTAGCACGTTTTGTTGAATTTTTTAGTACATTCGTCACATTGGACTGTTCTGCTATCAATCAAGTCAGAATCTATTTTTATCGTCGTAGTGACTACCTGCTGCTGCTCCTTGAGTACCGTAGAAGTGGACTTGGGCTTACGACCTCTGCGTTTCGGCACTTGAACGGTTGAATCAGGCTGCTGCTTGATCACAAACGGCACCACGTTGTTGTTCGTCTCGGTATAATTGTTCATGTGTTCAGGAAGTTGATGTGGAATCTGGGTCACTAAATAGTCTTCCATATTTTCCGTATCCATCTGAGTCGCTTCCATCGTCATCTCCTCCATGTTTATCACGTAGCGCTGCGTGTACATATAAGACGGTACGGAAGAACTGTAAGATTTCTCTTGTGTAGCCTCCTCCGGACTTAGCCCCCCCACGTTAACAGCCTGTGACTGGTTTTGGTTTCCACCGTACCCGGGTACGAATTGTGTGAAATTCGGCAGGGTCTGATGTTGATTAATGGTGCCAAAACCGGGCAGCTTATTTTCCTGGGCCTGCTGGTGGTGGTGCTGCTGCTGTTGATGATGTTGGTCACTTTGATTTTGTTCGTTACCAATAGTAGTTTGGATGGTAGACTCCAGTAGGCCCGGGATGCTGGAAGTACTCGTAACGTGGGGGGGCAGGGCGTTTGGGTACGGCTGATGAGGCATCGAAGTACCCCCCATTGCCGTGGGTGATACCATTGCGGGATGAACTGTGCCCGACGTTATGGACGACGAATTCATGTGATGTGGATGGGTGGACGAATCCATTTGTGAAGGGGAATTCATGTGTGATCCCGGCGGGTGCATGGGAGATATGGGCGAAGTCATGGAGTGATGGACCTGATGCTGGCCCGACGAAGTCATTGGCAGGTGATGAAGCGGCTGTTGCTGTTGTTGGAGCCCCATCTGGTGAGACGGAGAACCCATTGGTTGCTGATGGTGTCCCGCCATTGACGGTTGCTGCGGGGAATTGTGAGGTACCATTCCGGAGCCCAAGTGCACCGCTGAAGGTTGCTGCTGTTGTTGCACCAGAACTGCTGCCGTTGCCAGCGAGTCGTTGCTGTTGCTGTTGCTGGAATTGCTGCTGTTGAAGTGTGGAATGGGCGTGTGATGCAGGCCCCCCGTCGCCTCGCCCGAGGGACCTGCCATCACGTTTGGGGGACTCCCCGAAGATGTAAAGTCTGGTGATCTTTCGGGAGCGCCACCGCCACCGCCTACGCCGCTACTGCCACCACCGCCTCTACCACTGGTCGAATGAGTAACGTTATTTTCTCGGCTAGGATGATGATGAGAGCTAATCGGCATGTTCGCTGGATCAGGCTGATTGCTCTGCTTGACTGCATTTTTATGCAACGTCGTGTTATAGTGTCTCTTCAGATGGCCCGAACTGGTAAACCACTTGTTGCATGCAGTGCAATTGTAAGTCTTCGGTCGACGAGGCTCGTTGCTCTTCCACGTTTGGTTCGACGGTGGCTTCAACTGTTGCTGCAACGGCAACGCAGTTGACATCTGATGACTCGGCATCGGCTGCGCGTTCGTGATTATTGACGGGGTCTGGTGCACCGGAGCCTCCACCACGGGCATATGCTGGCTGCGCATAAATTGGCTCTGATCGGTGATCGGTGGCATGCCGTCCATGGGACCCATAGGCGGCAGCCCAGGATGATATTCGTGAGTCTGAGCCACCGGCCAACCCAACATAGAATGTCCTATTCTCTGCTGCGGATGTTGCTGCAACACTTGGTGTTGATGTACATGCATCTGCATCTCTTGCTGACGATGGTGCTGAAGCCTCAAAAGTTCCTCTCGGTATCGGTGCGTTTGCTGCACCTTGTGAGAATCCAAGTCGAGAATCTCAGTCTGCTCTTCCGGCTCTTGCTTCATCTCCAATTTCACCGGCTGTCCGCCATTGTAATCGTAGCCGGGTTGTTGTTGCGGCTGATTCGAGTGAGTCGGCGACGTGTGCAATTGCTGTTGCGCTTGTTGCTGTTGATCCGGCTGCGTAGGACTGCCACCCAGCTGCTGATACTGAGGCGCGGGCGCGTATCCGGTGGGCGAGTCCGAATGATGCGTCTTCATATGCTCGCCCAATTGATTCGCGTCCTCGTAAACGGTCCCGCAGTTGTCACAATGAATCGGCGGACTATGTGGGCTAGTGGAATTGGTGCTCGTGTGCTCCGCAGTGAAATGCTGAGAGTACGGATGATAACGCGCATAACCACTGCTGCTAACGTTGCCGCCGCCGTTATTCTGAACATCTTCTTGCGGCGGCGAGAAAGGCTGGCACGTGCCCATTGGAATATTTTGAACATGCGACATATTTTGCAGTAAATTTGTCACACTTGGGAAAGACAACGGTTCCAGATAATTGCTGTAGGCCTGAATGGAAGGCTGCTGCTGCGGCGAAGGATTCTGAGAAGATGATGGCTCCCTCGAATCCGTCGGTACCGCCACGCTTTCTTGCTTAACAACGCTCACGTGTTTATTATGATTGCCAGCCTTGCTATTGTTATTATTGCTCTCTTGCTGCGCCAGATTGGTCCACCTTTTTAGCAGGTTCTGCTTATGATAATGCAGATGCACCTGCAGGCTCTTGTCGCTGTTGAAGGAAACGTTGCACTCCTTGCAGTAAGGATCCGTGTTCGAGCTGCCGTGCTGCTGCTGCTGCTGCGGCGACGGCTGCTGCTGCTGCGGCTGCTGCTGCTGCTGCTGTAGTTGCTGCTGCTGTAGTTGCTGCTGTTGTAATTGCTGCTGCTGCTGCTGCTGTAGTTGCTGCTCCTGTTCAACAACACTTACCACCTCACTCATATTGTCTATTGCATGTCCACATTCGACTTTTCTTCATGTCGAATCGCGCATTCAAGTCGACGCGGCTCACTGTCGACCCGTAAGCGGAGCAGCACACGGTATCGAGCAGCGACTTGTACACAACACGTACCGTAACGCAACAAGGCCGGACAAAACACACGTGCGCCCACGCGGTCGTGAGCGCACATATGTACTGTATTGTAACGTCCTTTCTTTTATTTTCTTTTCCGCCTTTGGTTCTCTGCGCTATCTCCAAGACTGCCTGTCCGCGACACAACACAACCTATGCCACCGTACGATGAGTAAGGTGCGCGTCAAGTCGCGACAAACAAATGCGCGAGAACGTCGTGATTTCCTTTCTCTCACACTCTTACTTTTCTCTCTCTCTCTCTCCCGTTTCTTCTCCGTCTCGTCTCGTTCCGTTCCTTCGATAGAAGTCGATGGCCGTCGAAGAACGGAGGTTGCGCTATCTCACTCGCATTGGCAGAAGGTAGCACATGGATGACGCGTCGACGGTGGCAGCGCGAAACCAGGAGTCACGTGAGAGGTCTGACGAGCCTCGACGGGGGAAACAATGCGTGTTCACGACCTAGTCGGCAGCCGGGTCGCTGGTGGGGGTCCAAACCAAAAAGAGAAAAGGAAAGAAAAAAATAAAAAAAGGCGGGGGTACAGCGTATGCTACATTTATCAGATGATCCACGAGATCCCAGGCGCGAAAATCCAGATCAACGTGGTTTGTCGCGTCGTCGGACGGGTCACCACGCGCAACATTGTCGGCCTCGGCGCGAGGGCGACAGCGGGACGGTAATTATTACTCGCGGCACCCTTCCGCGACTCTTAACGACGATGTGTATATAACGACAGTGTCTCACGTGTTAACTTGTGATATTCGCGACTGGCGTTCCGTCGATTCTATCACCGGCGCGAATCCGGTCATGCAGGGTTTGTCTCGTGCGGCGAGTAACGAAACGAAAGAAAAGAAAAACGGACACGCGCGTGTCACCGCAGATTTACATATCGTCCGGCGTACTGTCGCGACGTGCCGGTAATATATGTACCTGCGTTCGCCGACTTTTCGCTTAGGGGAGTCTCTCTCTCTCTCAGGTAAGAAGAACTTTCCGTCCTGGTCGTCTCGATGAGCGCGATTCACTTTGCACTTTTTTTTTACGCACTGTAACGTCCCTCGTGTTACGGCACTTGGCGCAGTTAGAGTCCCACTCACGATTAATCGTTTCAATGTCACTGCTAGACGAGTATACTTAAGAATTGCGACAAGACACAATCGCGAAAGGACACTGTGTGTTGCGAGAGAACGGAGTCTCTTATTCCTTCCCTCTCCTTTGCTGCGTTGCCATCTCCACTGTCCTCACTTTCCTCAGCTCACACATTTGCCAGAGAGTCTGCAAGCGACCGCCCCATACAAGCGCTGACACTGATCTGCTAGGAACTCCGTAGTTTCGAGTCCTCGCGCCAAGGCACCCCTTCTTCCCCCGCCGCACCTTTCCCTTCCCTCGGTGTCCCCCGCTCACCACTTCCTTCGCCGGTACTAACCACCCCCTCCGACGTGCCGGCTCTTTGGGTTTTCCCCTCTCTCTCCCTCGCCCAACACTCCTCTCCCTTCCCTGTCGTGGTATTTTCTCTCTCAGTCTCTCTAGCTCTCGCTCTCTCAAGTACAAGCGCGCTGCCTCTCTTTCTCTACCACTGTCTCTCTTTCACTTTCTCCGTCGTTCTCTCGAACGTCTTTCTCCCTTCTCATCCAACATACCGGCGAATCTCATTCATCCTCTTCGTCTGATGTTTGAACTTTCTCTTTCTCCCGTACATGCTCCGTCGTTCCTTCACTCTCCCCTCGCTGGAAGAATTCTCGTTCTCTCTCAATCCCTTGAAAAGATCTATCTTTCTTTCTCCCTCTATGTATATACACGTAGCTATCTCCCTCTTTTTCTAGCCAATCCCTACCTCTCTCTCTTCTTTTTTCTCTCTCTTGCTTTGGCTTCTCCCTTCTTCTTCTTCCAAATGCTTGGCCGAAACGCAAGTCTGTCTCCCTCTTCTCTCTTTCCTTCGTATGCTCACTCCAGTCTCTCCTCGGCGCACCAATCCCACCACCTTTATCGAAGCGGCTCGAGACAGCCAACCAAATTTGAGACGGCGAACACTCCTTGTCCCCACCAAGCTTGCCTCCCCCCTCCGTGCCCTTTCGTGCCCGTGAATGTTTTGGTCGTTCTCTTCCTTTGGCTTTACTCATCCCTCTCTCTCTCTCTCTCTTCCCCTTCCTTCCCTCCCTGCTTCTCTCCGTCCCTCGTACTCTCTCAGTCTCACCTTCACCCCTCGACACGAAAGAGTACGAATCCTGCAGGACGCTGTGTGTCTCCTCTCTCTTTGCAAGTTCCTCTTTTTCGGGCTCGATGCGCTCTCTTTCAATTCTGATACCCACCCTCACTCCCTCACATTCCTCACCATCCCGCACGTCCCTCACATCCCTTCGTAGTGACTTGTCTTCGTTGTATTAGAGCGAACAGGATGGCGAGATGTGCGCATGGCACGAGGATCCTTGCTCGTCCGCACGCCCGTGTATCCTCGACGTTGTCCTTAATCACCAAACTTTATTCGGCGAGATTTTTCGCCAACCCTTTCTCGAGGTCCTCGACGCGAGCTTTTGAGTTCAAGACACATTGATTCTCCAGGGAAACCTGTCGTGATTTTCCTGCATAACTGCATGTCTGAAAAGAAAAAAAATCAGTTTTTTCAAGATATTTTATAAGCTTAGTTGTAAATTAAATTCATCAAAGTAGAAATACATGTTTGCACATATTGGAAGAGAACTTTCTCTTTACACATAACGTACCCGAGTAGAAATTTATCCAGTTTCTTACCAATAAGGAATTTTTGGTAATATTTAATTTAATTTAATTTATAATTTTTGGTAACTAGCTAGTTTTTAGTCAGTTTTCTTAGCTAGAAATTGACTAATTTGGTCGACGCTCACTTCGTCAAAAACTGGAAGTTGAACTAGATAGTTTCAGATCAGTTTTTAACAAGATTTTGATCAATATCTAACATGTTTACTAGCAGTTTCTAAGCAGTTTTTTTACTAGTTTCTATGTAGTTTTTGACTATTTTATAAGCATTTTTTTATCGGTTTCTGATCTATTTTTTCAGTTTATTAATAGTTATAATTAATTTAACTATATCAAAAGAATAATTTTATTAAAATTAAATTTTTATAATTTTTATAATTTTTTTATTTTTTATTTTTTTCATCTTTAATATAATATTTTATTTTATTTTGGCCAAGAATTATCTCAGAAAAATTCGTCAGTAATTTCCGATTTTTTGCTGGACAGAAAATGCACAGCATTTTCTTATCATTTTTCTTATATAATTTCTGACAAATAACTGGCCCAAAAATATTGACAGTATTTTCAGAGTTTTTACTGAGCAGAAACTATCCAATATTTACTTACTATTTTTCTTGCATAGTTTCTGATAAAAAACTACCCAAAAAATACTGAACAGTATTTATTATAGAAAATAAATTGAGATGTTTCCACTTTGATGCTTTCTTTGTTGGAATTTTCTAAAACTTGTTTTTATGAAGTATTGTTATAGAGAAACCTTGCTTTTATGACTTAAACCTAGCTTTTTAACTTGCAGTTTGAAAGGACTACGAAATTAGAAAAAAAGAATAGATTTAAAAAAATGTCAATTTATTCTTGACGATAAAATTTCGAACAAAGACGTAGATTTTACTGAAATATATTTAGAAAGAAGAAAAAAGAAATATTTCAAAAGAAGATATTTATCTGATAAGTACTAGTAACATACCTATTTAAATCTAAATTCTTTTATTTAAACATAATAAAAACAATTGCTGCTATAAAAAATCGAAGTTTTAAGAAAATTTATATTTTGTTTTTTTATTAAAGCAGTTGGTTATAATATTTAAATAAAATAATTTACATTGAAGTAAATATGCTGTTAGTAGCCACCGAATAAGTATCTGTTAGTTTTTAAATATATTTTCTTTCAGTGCAGTCAACAAGATGCGCAATAAGGATCGATCAACTGTATACCAAAGTTTGATCGATTTTCGCAAAGCTGTCTCGAGAATACTTCAATGCACACAAAGAGTATCGCGCGCGATCGGACAAGTAAACACAATCTCGGCGGCAATTAACGTGCTAAAGGGATCATCGCGTGGGTCGACCCGCGGACTCGCCTCCGTCGGGCGAGAAATGCCCTCGACCGTCTCGAAGATCACCCAATTCCACCGGGCAATAAACGTTACTCTCAACAGTTCACCTAACTTTTTATTAGGTCGAGCAATGAGGCCCCCTTTCGTAAGTGCCTGCATAAAAAGTGCGAGGGCATTATCCCGCGATAACCAAACTCTTTTTCTCACCTTCCTCCGCCTCCTCCGCCCGCTTGTTACCCACTCCCTCTGCCCCTTTGCTCCGTCCTCTTCTTTCCTTCCCGGGCGCCCCCTCTCCGCGAGGCGGTTTGGTTGAATGAAAAAAAAAAGAAAAAAAAGGAAACAAAGCGAAACAAAAAATGTGGGTAACCTTGCATTTTTTTATGATACCTTTTTTCCACGCTCGAGCTCGGCTCCTCGGCCCGTGCACTTTGCATACGGAATGCGACAAGTTCCTCTACCCCCGTCTCCCGCCCTTCGCCCGGTTGCGCCATCCCCCGTCGCCACCGCCGCCGCCTCCACTCTGCCGCCACCCCGCCGCCTCCTAACCCTTTGCGCCAACTATGAATATGTTTATTGCATTGCGCGACGGCCACCTGATGCAGCGGGGGCAAGCTCGCCACGTGTGTGGGCGATGCGCGGCACGTGGTGTCGCGAAGAATGAGCGTCGCGGCCGACCGACCGGCTGATCCTCGAGCGCGATCGGTATTATTTAACGCCGCGAGAGAGATGAAGAAAGCGGGGATTATAACGGTGCTCAAGGTGCTAGCCGATGCCGTCGATTCGTGGTCGCCGCGAAGCGGAGGACTTCGACTCGAGATCCCAGGTAATCCGGGTATTGGAAACGAGCTGCGAGAAACGGCGAAGGGAAACGCGGCCGGGTCAAGGGAGGTGAGGGAAATTGTCCTCGAATGTAATTATACCACGCCGCTTTGCGCCGCGCCCTTATTGTTCCACTTTGTATCCGGCAGTTTTATCGCGCTTTGCTGCGCCCCACGACGCAGCTGTGATGGCACTTTCAATTTTCCTCCCGCCGAGAGCGACGCTTAGCAATTCGCGAGACGCGGACGCGTCTCCGGGATCGATCATCACGATATAAAAGAATCTTGTTCTCTTATTCTCACGGTTCTATTCGTTTATGAGCACGCGACTACATAAGCGCTTCTTGATCATCTAGTCGAATTCCCAACCGCGTTCTTCTTTTCTTTTCTCTCTCTCTTTTTATTTTTTTTTCTTCTACAATTCCCGTCCACCAGCGCGTCGAAATACGGCGAAAAGACCGTCGGCCAACAGGGAGGGTGGCGGTAGATTGAATCAGCCTAAGCAGCAGCCACCCTTCTACGGATTCCGCCCTGGCAACTGCCCTCCCCTTCTGCTCTCCCCCTCATGCCAGCCTTCTCCTCCATTCCACTCGGCATTTTCGAGGTGGACGCCGAGCTGACCGAACCACTATCAGCTAGATATTCGCTGGCGTGGCGTTTGCGCCCCATTTTATTAAGGAAATCCCACCCCGGCGTCCGAATCTCTCTTCGTGCCCCCGTGGTCCATCGTGTCACGAAGTCCTACGAGGCGAAAGGGAAGAGTTCTCCTCGTAACACGTGCGACGACGTGCACCTTTGTCCTTTTCTTTCGTTTTCCGCCCCGTATACTGCTCCTTTCTTTCTTTCTCTCTCCTCTTCTTCCCCGTGTCGCTTTCTTTCTCTTTCTCTCGCGCGCGCTTTCCACGGAATTGTTTTCCCTGCGAATTTTTCTCGCGGACACGAGAAGAAGAGAGGTATGGCGACTCACGAATCGATCGACAGCGCGCTGAATATCGAAAGCGCGCGTAACGAGAGTTTTATTCGCGCACGTAGCTGAAATCCTCTTGCGATCTTCATCTTTTCTCAAGGAAACTTTGCAATCGCAAGCTCCAGTCATTACTGAGCTCACGATTAACGGATTGCGTGTCGATTCACGCGAGATTCGTGCCAGGATAATGACGTAGTACATCCAGCGGGGGTGGAATAGCCGCGCGCAATTTTTCCGAGGCATGACAGGAGGCCTGGCAAACCGCAATTCGCGCACCCAATCTTGCGGGGGAGGACACGAAAGCAACGTCTGCTCGCGCGCTGCCGGATCGTGAAGAGTAATAAAAATATTCCGCGAGCTCGGCAATAGGGTGGCGGGACGACGGCCGTCATTAAAGGAAATTATAACAAAGTGGTTCCTCCGCGACGTCGGGGCTGTCATTTGGCGGCGCGGACGCGAAAGTCCGCAGCA